TTTAAATTTATAAAGTATAAATAATATTAAAAAACTAAATCACTTACCAGTTTTACTAAACGTGGCTGTTTATTTGCTTTGCCGACACAACAAAAGAAGAAAAAAAAAAGAACAAACTTCAAACCATACAAGCGAACAAAAGGGTAGGAAGTGTCACTAAAACAGATCGGACAAAGAAGGGAGTTTGATTTCGCCCTTGGTCGACAGAGGAATGGTCAGATTTCCGATGATCGGAAGGTCGATCGTCAGACCAACCTCCAACACGTAGTCGATGTCCCAGTCTGCTCCAATGTCCCTTGCCAAGCTCACCAGCACGCTGTGCGGCACCTTCACTGGCACCTCCAGCAACGTCGTGTCACTCGCCTTCAACGATCCCGGGTCCGGCATAGTCCCCGACGCAATCACCCTGTAATTCCCCATCCCCCACCCCAGAAACAAAAAAAAAAAAAAAAAAAAACTCACATATCAAATATTTTCAACCAAATTTCCATTTTACTTAGATGAACAATAGCCCAAAAATAGATATTGAAAAAAAGTAATCGAATTGTAGAAGGATCAAACCTGCCGGCGCTTTTGAGAGTGTAGGAGATCTCGCAGATGGGCAGGGAATGACCGTAGGGGTTGTTAACAGAGATTTTGGCGTTATACTCAACGCACTCACGGCTGACGTTCTTCAAATCGACGTCGGAGAAGGTGGCCTCCGGCTTCTTTATATTGGCCACCTTCTCCGCCACGAATTCCTTGGCCTTATCCACCAGCTGCGACATTAACGAAATCGTAAATAGAAAATAAGAGACTTTTAAAGTGGCACGTGTTTGGCTTTGATAAAATGTGTTGGGGCAGATTGGATTGCAGTTTTATCGGAGTTGAAGTGGGTTCATGACACGCGTAAATTCCGAGGACACGTGTAAAGCCCGCGGGAGGAGTTCTGAACTAAGTTAGATAGTCCGGTTATTCTTCTACTTTCTTTCTCTTGGTATTTTTGGTGGTGATATAAAAATAATTTTTTTATATTATTTTTTTTATATAATTTTTTTATATATTATTAAATAAATATATATTTAATATTATAAATTTTATATAAATTTAAAAAATTAATTATTTAAATGATACATTAAATTATAAAAAAAATTTCATCAAAAGAGAATTATATATAAAAAATAAATAAATAAATTATATAGAAATCATTTTCATCGTAAGTGCAGATAAATCTATGATAGATGAATTTCACCAAGCGACTTGATGGTCGCGTGCCTCATTGAAGTTGGTAGGTTATTCATCAGGATCGAATTTCAAGTTATTAAGATCTAACAATATTAACCTACTGATCATTGCCTCTATAAAAAAAAATTCTATAATTGATAATAATGAATCTTAGCCGCTTGAATGATAATCGGCGTTTAGATGTAATGCATGACTATGATCGATGATGATGAATTTTGGAAGTGTTTGGATGTGCAATTTTAAACCAACAGTTAATAAATTTATTTAATTTAATAAATAAAAATATTTATATTATTAAAATTAATAATTAAATTAGATGAAATAATTTTAAATTGTTATATTAGACGACCCCATAAATAGAAAAATATAAATGTAAAGAAAAGAAAATGCATAGAGAGGTGAAACCAGAAGCTTACATCCATTAATTGATGAGCAGCGTGGGGAAAATCAGGAACTTTCAAGGACTGCAAATGGCGATATTGGAATGGAGGGAAGTAGAAACTTGGATTGAGGAGACTGCATTCTTCTCCTTTTTGTTGTCTTTCTATTTTAATTTGTTTTTCCGCTTTTTAGGTATGTTTGTTTTAACTGTTTCCAATTTTCATGATACTCCATTGACCAAATTCTAATTTTATATTAACTTTTAATTTCTAAATTAAATTATGCTTTTGCCTTTTTCTTTCCTTATGATAGAAGAAATAATCAATTTACACATTT